TTGTAAAGCTCAGTAATACTAGGCCCATCCTATTTGCATTTTATTTTCCCCAAATTCTTCAATAACAACCTTACTTCCTTGTTGGAGCAGGAAGCTGGTAGCTGAGAACAGGCAGAGAGAGCCCTTTCTCCCTGGGCTGAGATGTGAATCAGGCTGAAGACGGAGATGCCGGTGATTACGGTTCATGTTTTTGAGCTGATGCTAAGTGCTGAGCACAGGCCTAGACACTTTGCCTGGATTCACTCAGTCACACAGTGTCTTATAAAGTAGCTTACCAAGCAGACACTGTTGCTCTCTTTATGAAACAGATGAGGAAAATGAACTAGAGGTTGGTGCAGAGGGTGAGAAGACCAGTGGGAGAACACCTTAGGATCTAACCTGGCATAAATCGTTCTAACTCAAGGAGCCTATAAGTCAGAGTTCCCTTGCCTCCCTGAAGTCCAGTGAGTTCTCTTATATTATAGTTAGCATGTCTGCACAACTATATCCAAGCGAAGCTGGATCCATCAGGGAAATTAAAGTGACCAAGAAAAACAGTTTATCATTGCATTTGACTTACAAGTGGTCAGTTGGTTCTGCTGGTCTCTGGATTTTCTCAGGGAGAGTGCATGCCCTTGGTAGCTAATTACTTTTTCGAAATTGTGCCTGTGCATCAATCCTGCACGCCCGCTCCTCAGAGTATATGTAAATCTCCTGTAAAAACAACTGGAGCCTTTACTACAGTGCATCATCGGGCCGTACGTGTGTATCATCAGGGTGAGACCCTCCAGTTCTCAGGACAGTGACCACAGGCTTCGGTAGCAGGCTGTGGTCTTGCCTCTCCCTCCCTATTGGAGGACATTTGAGCATCTGTTGCCCAGCTTGAATGGTTGAGAAACCTCTTGCCCAGCAGCTGTGGTGTATTTGGAGCTACAGCTGGCCACTTATGCACCCAATAGGGAAGTACACACATTCATCTGGGAAATTGCCACTGGGGTGGAAACTGGTGAGTGCTCTGAAAATTGGGTTTAGGAGGATTTGTCCTGGAAAGGCAGGGTTTAAGAACCCCCTAATCCCTTGAATGTTGTTCAGAATGGGAAGCCTCTTCAATGGAGAGCTCTTAACACAGAAAGTTGATTTTTCTGCAAGACTCTACTGGAACATGCACCATATTGGGCTTTATTTCTCTGTTTTGGTCTAGGGTCTGACCATTTCCCTTGACCTCCTCTGACTCTTATTTGAGTTTTAATTTCTATTTTTTTTTTTTTTTACCTTTTTTGTGCAGTGCTTGGGATTGAACCCAAGGCCTCACATGTGCTAGACAAGTGTTCTACGCCATATCCTGACTTTCAGGTTGAAATATAGGACTTGGCTAAGGAGTTAAAACAGACCATAGTATAGGACAAGTCTGAGACATGTAGTTAGGTAAGAAGGAGCATATTCTGCATTTGCTTCAAAGGCCGCAGAACTTCCTGGATGACTGTCCCCTGGTGTCACTCCTCTGTACTGTTTGCTGTTGGGAAGAGCTGGGAGGTTTACCAGTGCTTCTCAGTGTGGGGATGGTCAGGTTTCTCAGTTGTGAGATGACTTGGTTTCTGAGGTGGGGAGAAGTCCTTCTAAAAGGTGCCCATAAGACAGCTGGGATTGCAGTGCGGGAAAGAAAGAACAGAGCTGAGTAGTGTGTCATTGCCTGTGATGCCAGAGGCCGGGCTTCTAGGTATTCAGGACATCCCAGACATCATGACTACATAGCAGTTGAGACAGGGCAACCAGCATCCATTTCCCAAGAGGCTGGGTCACATATCAATTGGGGGATGTGTACCACTGAGCCAGATCAACCACATCTGGAGACCAGGTGGAGCCATCTTGGGTGACAGACCCAGGAGCATTGCCCAGCACTTCCACTGAGTAGTATGCACCTTCAGCTAGAGCAGTCTGGCCCCTTACATGGAGCAGTCACTTCTTAGCTGAGTTTGGTGGCTGTCTCAGAGTCAAATATACACCGCCTGGGTCATCGTGAGGTTCCAGCATCCATTTGGCATGAGCAGATGTGCAGGTCTGACACAGATGTGAGTGTTCAAAGGGGCTTAGCTCCTGTTTTACCCAGAGAGAGCCCCAGGGCATCCTGTGAAGGGGTGAGGGCTTTGGAGGACTGCAGTGAACTGTGAGGCCCATGCTCTTGAGAGCTGGCCTGTTGGCTCTCTGCCTCTCTTTCCTCATCCTCTGTGTATTTCTTCCTTCCCATTCTCTACTTTTTCAGGATCTAGCTTTTGGGTGGGCAAGTCAAGGCAAATAGGTGAACAATCATGCAGGTTTTTTTTTTTTTTTTTTTTTCTGGGAAAAACTAGAAGGTATTGTTGATAAACAAGGGAGGAATCCAGGGAGTTGAACATTTAGACAAAATCTGGTGGGGTGCTGTCTGGGGGTGAGCCGTCAGGCCACCATGTAATACTGAGCGAGGTGCTCAGAAGCACGGGTTCCAACTTGCCATCTGCCACTGTGCAGCGTTGTAACTTTATGAGCACCCATCTTCTTATCTGTTAGTCAAAGAGATGGCTTTTCAAGGTTCCTTCCTCTTCTGGAACTGAGGAACTCACAAGATGCCTGGGGCCAGTTATCTCCTTTGTGGTAGAGTCTCTTCCTATGGACTAGGGACATTACATGTTTAACCTCTGTTTCTCCATCTTATAGAGAAGCATCACAAGCATTGCATCTCTTCGCTGTTTTGAGGAGAGCAGTTATAGCTAATTCCTTCACATAAGCCACATCCTTCAGCAGGGAGTGGTGCATACAAAACCCAGTCTGCACGTTTGTGAAATTTTACAAACTTTTCTACCTTCCATGATTCATGGCTATCCGTAACCAATGATTGTCAGATCTCATTGTCTCCTATCAACAGGAAAGCATATGGTGCGCGTCCCTGCCAGGGAGAAATGTGGGTTGATTACAGTGTTTTCCCGTTGGTGTAGAGGATTTTTACCAACTAGATTTGGATGCCTCATGACCATTTATGGCTCTTAATGGGCAGGAGGGCAGGTAAGGAAGCAGTGGGCTCAGTCATTACAGGGTGGGTCACCCCGTTTCCCACCGTTGCTCAAAAATACTTGAGATTGGCGAATCTGTAAAGAGAAGATTTATTTAGCTCACAGTTTGGGAGGTACAAGAGCATGGCACTGTCATCTGCTGGCTATCACCAGGGCCTTCTGGCTCGTAGCGTCTCAGTGGGAATGTGTGTGAGAGGGAGAGATCACATAGAGAGACAGGAAGCTAGAGGGATTCAGGCTTCAGGCTCACTCTCTCCAGCCTTAATCCTTCCCAAGGTGATGCCCTCAATAACTTAATAAGTTTCCATCAGGCTCTACCCCTAAAGGTCCCCCCTTCCACCTCCCGTCCTTGCTCTGTTAGGGACCGGGCTTCCAGCATGAGCCCTGGGGAAGCAAACCACATCTAAACCGTGCACAGAGCTCTGCATCTAAGCTGTATGTGTGGTTTCTTTGTACCCCTCAAGTCGGTTTTACTCCCAGAGGTCTCTGAAGTCCTTTAGAAATGAACGTCATCATCAGGACCTTGCTCAGTTACATCTTGCTACCACTCTAGGGCTGGGGTGATAGCTTAGCAGCACAGTGCCTGTCTGGCAAGTGTGAGGTCATGAGTTCGATTCCTGATAGCATTCTATCACCTCGCCCTGGTTTTCATTTACAGATTTAGCTGCTCACTTGGGGTCTGTCACGATGACAGTGAACTGAGAACAATTCTAAGTTGCAATCGATTAAGTGAGGGTCATGGCGGAGATGTGGACAGGGCATCTCTCTCGGCCTTGCACGGGACAGTATGAATTTGTGGCATGGCTCATCTGCCCCATGCCTCTCAGGGAAGATTTGGGCCCAAAGCCTTCATTTTATGACATTTAGGATATTTTGTTAGTTTTTTACATGTTTGAACTATAGTTAGTTATTTATGAGACTAAAGACTAAAAAAGAAAACAAAAACAAAAAACCCTGCCGGAAACTCAGTCTCCTTCTGTATGCATAGGACTGTAGAGCTGTCTCATCCCGGCACTGCTGTCATTATCCTCCCTTTGATTGCTACCATTATTTAATTATTGTTTATGGAAATGCCTCCCGAGCTTTCCACCAATTATGATTCTAATTTAACAACAGACTTGTCTGTCCCGGAAACGTTCAGCAGTGGAGCTGGGGCAGCCCTGGAAGGTCTCCATGTTTTAAACTAGATATGGATACCCCAGCATCTTGGCAGTTGCCCCCAAGCTGTCTCTTGGCCCAGGGGCAGCGAGTCACTGGCTCCAGGCTCTTAGCATCCTGGCTTTGAAAGGGCTAGGTAATTGGAGAGCAGCGTAGGAGCTGTGGGCCCCACAGACTGATTTAGCACAATGCAGTGGGAGAGACTGTTTTCCAGAAGCCGAGCTGATTAGGGCAGGAGGACTGTTGCCTGCTCCTAGGATATGGGACCCTGCTGGGTGAGTGGGCGAGGTTGTGCACTACTATCTGTTTAGTCACCTCATTATAAGAGGCTCCTAAGCAAGCCTTTCATTTAAATTTTTTTTTTTTTTAAATAAGTTTGAGCTGTAAAGACCTAGCTATGCACGGTCACCCCCCCACCTCTGGAACAACTAACTAATCTTGCCTGCAGAATTTCCTGGAGTTCAAGGCCCGCTGAGGAGGAGTCGGGTAGGGGTGTGCTCTCAGCGTGGTGATGGTAGAATCTCAATAGCTGATTTGCCAGTTAGCTCATTATCTGAGTCAGACAAATGATAAGCTCTTTGAATGTTCCCTGCTTCTTTTATACTTCTTGAACCTTACCTCCTTTGCTGCATGCTGGGTGGCTGAAGGTTTCCTGGGCTCTGCGGTGCGCTGGGCTGAGGAGGAACCGGTCCAGGAGGAGTGGGGACAGGCTCTGCCCTGTGGGTCTCCTGCAGCTCGGAGCCCCTGGCTAGACCTCGGGGGCTTCTGGCTTCTTGCTCTGCGTGATGCATGTCTTCTCCCTCCCATTCTGCCCCCAAGGATGTTAACGCGGGCGAAGGCAGCGAGTTTGCAGACAGTGGGATTGAAGGAGCCACCACCGACACGGACCTTCTATCCAGGCGCTCAAATGCCACCAACTCCAGCTACTCACCCCCCACGGGCCGGGCCTTTGTGGGCAGCGACAGCGGCAGCAGCTCCACTGGGGATGCGGCTCGCCAGGGGGTGTACGAGAACTTCCGGCGGGAGCTGGAGATGAGCACCAATAGCGAAAGCCTGGAGGAGGCCGGCTCTGCGCACAGCGACGAGCAGAGCAGTGGCACCCTGAGCTCACCGGGTCAGTCGGACATCCTGCTGACCGCGGCGCAGGGCACGGTGCGCAAGGCCGGCGCGCTGGCCGTCAAGAACTTCCTGGTGCACAAGAAGAATAAGAAGGTGGAGTCGGCCACCCGGAGGAAGTGGAAGCACTACTGGGTGTCCCTGAAAGGTAAGGAGCGCGCCGGCTGCAACAGTGCATCAGAGAGTGCACTCCAGGGAGCAGGGTACCCACGTGACACCCAGGCGATGGGGTTTCCCTCTTGTGATCCTATAGAATTAGTTTGCCTCAGTTTTTTAAAAATTTATTTTATTGTGTTGGGGACACTTAACATACAGTGTACTCCTGACACATTTTTAAACGTGTAGTACAGTGCTGTTGACTATGGGTGCACTGTTGGAGGCAAACCTTTAGAACTTACTCATCTGGCTTACCCAGGGCTTTATGCTCCGTGATCAGCAATTCCCCTGCAAGAGGAGCATGTCATCGCTGTTTCCTCATCCGTACAGCTGGTTCTATGGGTAGATTTGAAGGACAAAGTTTCCTTCGAAATCTTTTTTTCAAACTCTTGTAAATTTGTGCCTTCCAAAGTGACTGGTAAGAAGTTAAAAATTAGGTTGGCTCCTGTGGAATTAACACTTTTTAAAACTAAAAATTGATAAGAGTATCGCTAATTTCATAGGGCTCAAGCTAATGTGCATGGGATGTCTAAAGCTCCATGTATGTGAAAAAGTTGGTCTCTGTAATGAAGCTGTATATCTGAGGATGATATGGACAGTTGCATACATACTTGGACATAGCACTATGCTTTCTTTCTGTATAACCACCCTACTTTTATATGTTGCTAGTCATTGTCATTTTGTGAAGTATGTGTATTAATTTCTGCACATACCTTCAAGTGTCTCTGTAGTGGAAAAAATTTAATTCATTTGTGAGCTCTGTGTTTTGAAAAGAAGATACATTTTTGAAGCACATTTAGAGTTTTTGTTACAAGATGGATTTGAACCAGAGTTAGTATAGGGCAGGAGGGGTTAGACAGGTTCACAAGATCAAAGGAAGGGCACAGAGGAAGAATGCTGGGCTGACCAGGTTGGTGAGGATATGAAACCATTTATTTGACACTGGATGTCACTGAGGTTGGTGTGGGACCATCTCATCCTGGAAGACTCCAACCTGGAGAACTCCAGAGCCCAGCTCAGTGAGGTAAACACATGCCTGGGCAGGGATGTGCGGGCCACCTCCATGGGAGAAGCAGGGCTTGGGTGGACCCCATTACTGGTGCTGCCAGATGTTGCTTCACTGCTTGTTGAAACACTAAGGGAGCCTGTTGAAACACGAACGGTTGTAGATTTTGCCGCATGTCATAGAAACCCAGAATGAGGATAAGAACAAATCCAGGCAGGATTACCATCTAAGATTCAGCTCTTCCCAGAGCATTGCTGTTTGATGAGTCGATGAAGTGGTCTTGCTTACGCAGCATAGTCACCCTGTGTGAATGCTTCAGAGAACTGTGACTGTCTTTTCTATGTGTGACCTGCCTTGAGTTAATTTAGAGGGTTATGTGTCAGAGGGGCCCAGGTTGAGTCAGCTGCTCTGTTCATGTGGGGTACAGTGAGATGTGGGAAGGTCCTCTCGTCTGCCGCCTCCTGCACCTCTTCCAGATGTGCACATGCCCCTGGAGATGGCACCTCTGTTCCTGCAGCAGCCCAGCCTTAGCATTCATTTCATTAATTGGTGCTGAGTTCTTAACAGCCTCATTGAAGAGCACCTGTGTTACAGCCACGGAAGGTACTTTCCTGAGTGTATCTCATATCTTCGGAAGCACAGCTTTGGAGACAGCCCCTGTATTCTTTTGCTAGGATTGCCCTGACAAAGCACCACAGGCTGGCTGTTGTAGATAAATAACAGGAATTTACTGTCTCTTAGTTGTGGAGGCTAAAAATCCGGGGTTGAGGAATTGGCAAGGTTGGTTTCTTCTGACGCCTCTCTCCTTTTGTCTAAATTTCATCTTTCTATAAGGACAGCGGTCCAGTGAGATTTGGATCCACCCAGGAGACCTCCCTTTACTTTAATTGCCTCTTTAAAAGTTATATCTCCAGACACAATCACATCTGGATGTAGTGGCGGCTTAGGACTTTAACATAAGGACTTTGGGGAGGACATAGTTGAGCTGGTAACAGGCCCTGAATTTGTGGTTTAAATAAGTTTCCCAGGTGACTCTTAGTCTAAATTTGAGAACAGCATAGAATAAAAAGTAATTGGGTGACTTTTTTTTTTTTAAACTTGGGACGTTACAGAGGGGGTTATTTTATTTCTGCCATTTCCTTGGAGAATAAATGACATGGGAGGCTAAGGTATGGGCGTGCAGGAGCACAAGCCCTGTGCCCGTTATAGGACCGAGCCTTCATGCCCTTGGTGACCCAGATCTGAGTGACACCATCTGTCAGGACGCACTCCCAGAACACAGAGCCCCTGAGCCCTTTGCTTCCTAAGCCTGACAGGTTCCATTATATGCTGACATCCTCAGGGCTTGGCATTGCCACTCAAAAGCAAGACTTTTGCTGATTTTTCTGCCACCCTTCGATATTGAGAAAGCAAAAGCAGAACATCTGGGAGCCCTGGGATAGAGACTTTGTCAAAGATGCTTTCACATAAGATAAAATAACTAATTTTAAAAGGGGTTTTCATCGAGAGTTAATCTCTGGAATGACTTCATGAACAGCTCAAGAACCTAGAGATTATCTTCCAGTGCAGATAAAGCTAAACAGTCTTTTATCAGGGAGTGTGTGGTTCTTGGAATTGCTGCCTCATGTTAGTGTTAAAATCAGAACAAGTTGATAATTGAGTAAAAGCCAGCTTCAGCCACCTACTGTTGTAGGATGATGCTAAAGCAAGATTGAAAAATTGTTAAGCAACAGTTATTTGGAAAGACCGTACAGTGTCCAGTGTTTGCACATACCAGGTTTAGTGGGTACCCCTAATTCCTTATGCACGGGCTGCTTCCTCTGTTCTCAACTGTGGTCAAGTATGTTCCTCCTTTTGTGTTCAGAATCTACAGATCCTCAATGTCGTATTACTCATAAAGACTTAGAACCGCATTTCTCAGTAGTGGTACTAGTGACATTTTCCAGATAATTCTTTGTTGTGCAGAGCTGTGCTGGGTATTTATAACTGCTTAGCAGTTTCCTTGTTGTTGTTATTCAGCCTCCTATCACTGTAACACAGTATCAGAGGTTATCAGTTTATAAATAGGCAGGTTTAACTCAGCTCACAGCTTTGGAAATCTCAGCCCCTGGGTAGTTGTTGCTCTGCTGGTTTTGGGCCTGTGACGAGGCAACACATCATGGTGGGAGTGTGTGGCCGAACATAAGTGCTTATCTCATGGCGGGAGGAGAAAGGAGAGGAGGAGGAAGGAGCGAGAGTCCACTCTCCCCTTTGAGGTTACCCCCGCAAGCTGAACTCCTACTGGACTCACCTCTGAAAGGGTCACCATCTCCCAATAGCAGCATCCCTGGTGATCAAGCCTGCCACACATGGGCTTTGGGGGGACATTTAGGATCCAAACTCCAGTGCCTGTGCTCACCCACTAAATGCCAGCAGCACCTCTCCCTTAGTTGTGACAATCAGAAATGTCTGCAGAGAGGACCGTATTGCCGTACCATGGAAACCTTTGACTAGGGGAAAATAATGACTCCCTTCCGTTTTTGTTTTCTTCTGTGTAATCTCTGCCCACGTAAGGCATGGACATGGGGATGGAGGCAGATGATTTTGTTCTTTGATGTAAGTGTACCTAAAAAATCTTGAGGTCCATAGGCTTAGGCCAGGCATGATGATAAACCCTGTGATCCCAGTACTTGGGAGACTGAGGCAGGAGGATTGTGAATTTGGGGCCAGCTCGGGCTATCTTGTGGGTTCCAGGCCAACCCTAGACTACTTAGTGAGACTCTCTCCCCTACCCCTCAACTGCAGGGATTACGTGAGAAATGGAGTCAAGGCAGAACATCACTGTATATTTATATGTATGCACTTTTTAAACCCAAATTTATAAAAGAACATGCCACAAACTTTACTAAAAATGTACAAACACTATAAGGTTTTTTATTTTTTAAAAACACACTTGCAGAGGACATTATCTTTTTAAGACAAAGTGAATATAAGTTGAATTGGTAGAAAAAAATAATTGAGATTCCTGAATTATGGAGACAAGGACAGTAAGTACCATGTCCTAAAGTTTAGAAGCATAGTACCCTGAGGAGTTTACAGCAGAGCCCATGGCTGTGCTGTGCCAACAGGAGAAAATGTGAAGTGAGAAATGTACCAGGGTGCTCCGTTCAGCTGTGTTAGGGGCATTGCATTTAGCGACTGTTACGTGGTAACATGAAACATTATGGGCTAGGAAAAATTGCTTTTGAGCCATTGTGACGTTTCCATCGAGCTACATTATTCTATAGAACTTTATGCCACTGATTAATTTTTCTTCATAGACTCCGATGTTAACCAGATAGATAGGACTTTGCAATTCATGTAAACTGTGGTGCTGGGTTGTAGTAAGGAAGATGGTGAAAATTCACTGAGTAACTTATGATGAAGGTAGGGAAGAGTAAGAAAGTTGTAGACAAGGGCTAGGGATTTAGCTCAGTGGCACAGTGCCTGCCTGGCAAGCGCAAGGTCATGAGTTTGATTTCTGGTACCGGAAAAAAACCAAAAAAAAAAAACCAAAAAAAACCAAAATGAAAGTTGTAGACAGACTTCCCAAGTTGATTTCAATTAGTGCTCAAGTAGTAATTGATACTAAAGTGAGTTTCCAGTTCAGGCAACGATGGAGAATATCTACTGTAGACACTTTCCCACAACCCTATGAAATATTTCTATTGCTAGTATCCTATTCATTTCATAGTGTAACTAAATATTAGGATTCTGGTTTCCCCTAGACCTACTATATGGGTCATACATTTCCTCTTTCAGAAGAAACAAGGATGTGGTTTATTTCTAGGGGGAAAAAATTATATAGATAAAATCTGAGACCAAAAATGTATCATTTTTTTTCTTGTTCTGAACACACCCAAAGACTGTATTATATATTGTTTTCACCAAGGGTGTGGTCCATAAACCCTATCCATTTTCTAGTTTCCTGGTGCACATCTTTGTGAGACACACTGGGAATGGACTCCAAAGTAACAGTAGGGCCACCAGTCTTACGCAGTGCTGAGTCTACCTCTGGTCTTATAGAGCCTGTGGAACCATGTTTGACTCACTGCTGGGCAAATGAGATGCAAGACCCCCATCTGTATGAGGATATTCTATAACAAAACATTCTGACACAGAAAGTAAGGCTCTTAAGGAACTTGAGGGCATGCATAAAGGAATACATTAATTATTTTCCCATCATTGGGATGAAACACCCAACAGCTGCAATTTAAAGAAGAGTTTTATTTTAGGTCATTTTTTCAGAAGGTCTACTCCACAGTCAGCTGGCTTTAGATCAGAAACAGCATGGTGCAAGGACATGACAGGAGAAAGCTTTACTCCACGGCAGACAGGAAGTGGGGGCAGAGGGGTGGGCGGGGAACAATACTACACCCTTCCGGGTTGTGCCCTACCCCCCAACAGTACATCCAGACAGGAACTCATGGATGAATTAGCTCATGTGTAAGTAGAAGTGCCCCATAATCCACTCACCTTCCAAAGGCCCCACTCTGAACACCTTGGGTGACATTTTAGATCTATGCAGTAACAGAATGCTTTGCTAACTCAGAAGCTGTGATTTTTAAGAGCTTTCCTGTTCTCTAGGCAAATCTAAGCACCTAGTATAAGCATGGCCCCATTCTCTTTACCTCCTGGATTCCACATGCTTTCATTTCCAGCCCTTTCCTGTGACAAGTGCTAGTTTCTACTATGGGCTTATTGTTGATGAAGTACCAAATGCTGACTCCTGTTCTGTTTCCTCAGGATGCACGCTCTTTTTCTATGAGAGCGACGGCAGGTCTGGAATAGACCACAACAGCATCCCCAAGCATGCCGTCTGGGTAGAAAACAGCATTGTGCAGGCCGTGCCTGAACACCCCAAGAAGGACTTTGTCTTCTGCCTCAGCAATTCACTGGGCGATGCCTTCCTTTTTCAGGTTTGTTGGACACTTTCTTCCTTCGTAGGATGTTTCTAACCTTCAAATGAGACAGCATCTTCTCTCGTTTTACTACCCTGCCCTTTTTTGTTTTCGTTTTCATGATGGGATTTATCCATTGCTCACTGTAGACACAACAATGGTGAACAGCAAAATAAACATCTGTGGTAAATTCCAGGAATGAGAGACCTCTACCAAAGAGTTTCAGCGTGGAGCCTGAGTGGAGTTACGAATTGGATTTGAGAAACTGTGTTTGCTGTGGGTTGAAGGATTTTTTAGTGTAGTTTCTTGGTTCCATTTGTGTAGCACATTAGAAAAGGATCATGAGATCCTTAATTTAGACATGATTTGAGCTGTCAATTTTCTTTTATCCTAATATGTTCTCTGCTAATATTAATCATAAAGTAAAATAATGACATACCAGAACTTAGTGGCTGTCCCTAAATAGTTTCTCGTTTTTATCTTGTTAGAACTTTCTACCTTGCGTTCTTAAAGTTTGACTATTAATTGATTTTAAAAAAATACTTCCCTGCTTCAGAGTTAACATTTGCTTTTATAGCACATGTTTTGAATTTGCTCAGTTGTAATATATCCTGCAAGAACTTCTTGTGATTTTAGCTAGGAAGGCTTTCTTCATTTATTCTATTAATGAATTAATTCTTTAAACCGTTATTCCATGCTCTGTATTTTCTGTGCACACTCTGTGTTTTCTTAAGAATGCCTTTTGACATAGTTCCTACTTTTAAAAGTATTCACATAATGATTGGGGGACAGGCACAGGAGTATATTTATAATGTTGCAAGGCCATGCAGTGAATATTAAGAAAGAAAAGGAATAAATTGGGTGAAATGGACAGTGAAAAGTTGCCGTGCAAGAAAAGAGTCAAAATAAACATACAGGGGAAAGAAATAATTTATTTCACTAAGTTGTGGTTTTGGCCACAACTGTTTGGGTAATACAGTATCAAGTGGTAATTTTGTTTGTTTAAACACAAGCACCTGCTTTTAAAAATTTGTGAGTAAAATGCACAGAAAAAAGAGTGCTTAAAACATAAACTAACAGTTCAATGAACTGTCATGAAGTAAATAATGTAACCATCAACCAGGAGAAAGAATGGAAATTTCAGGCACGGTGTAAGATACCTTCCACCCACAGATACACATCAGCCTATTAACTAAATAGAGTGAACATGACTTTGATCATCCAAGTCAGGACATTATTTATCTGGGAATGACTTAATTTCTTCTTTTTGAAGGATAGTTTGGCTGGATACAGTATTTTTAATAGATAATCTTATTTCAGTTCTTTCAGTATGTCATCCCATTGTTTTCCAGCCACCATAGTTGTTGCTGAGAAATTAGTCGTTAATCATATGCGAATCCTATTTACACGATGAATTGCTTTGCTATTTTGAAGATTTTTGTCTTGTCTCTACAAAGCTTGATTATGTTGTAGGGAGGTGTTAATCTCTGAATTTATTCTGGTTGGGATTCATTTTGCTTCTTGAATGTATAGGTTTATGTGTGTGTGTGTGTGTGTGTGAGAGAGAGAGAGAGAGAGAGAGAGAAAGTTTTTAGATATCTCTTCAGTCTTCCTGCCATTTCTCTTTTGTCTCCTCTGACACCTATTGGGTTTACATTAATATGTTTGACAGTGCTCTACAGGTCTCTGAGACTCTGTTCTTTTCTCTTTATTCTTTTTCCCCCTTCTGTTCTATACACTACATAGCGTAAGCTCAGTTAATCTACTTCAAGTTCATTGATTCCATTTTTTGTCAACTCCTATCTATCTTTGAGCCCTTTTGGCTGTTTCACATTTTAAGTCTAGAATTTATATATGCTTTTGAAAAAAAAAATTAGTTTCTCTGTTTGTATTATCTGCATGGTGAGATATCACTCTCATATTTACTTCTTTAGACATGATATCTTCTAGTTCTTTGGATATACCCAAAGTAGTTAGCACACTCAGCAAACTGTCCTCAGGCACGGTTTCTATTGATGTATCATTTCCTGCATATAGACTGTCCTTTACTGTTTCTCTGCAGTGTTCATGGTTTTCTGTACAAGATTGTACATCTGAAATACTAGAAAGTGGCAACTTTTTATTTACTAGTATATGTTTGTGATACATACTGACTACTTTCTTTGTGGGTATTTGGTACGTGTATCTGACACATTTTAACCCTTTTTGTGTTCCTTCCTCTTCCCTTATCTCTTGATTTCCTTCCCTTTTGCAGAAGATCTGTCTTAAAGGTGTTCTTTGTTAGAGTGAAACTTTTTATTTTGGTGTCCTTTTACTTCTCATGCCTTCCCTAATAGGTGATACTTTATGTATCCTATTTTTTAAATGTGTCTTGAATATCTCCTGTTATTTAACATATTTATTTAAAATGATAAGCAGACCCAGCCCCATCTTCCAGGATTTGTTGTGGTTGTTGGTAGTTGTTATTTCTGGTGCTTCTTTTTGTAGCGACTTTCCTGAAATCTGGAAAACCTTTCTGCTTTATCATATATGACCGCTGAAGTCGCTGCTCAGCTAGTTCAGTAGTGATTGCCTAGAAGCAGTGAATCTCCCACCCTTCTCCGAGGACAGACAGCTGCAGGTGAAAGCACATCTCCAGTGCTCAGGTAGCCGGTTCTCAGCTCTGTATTAGCCCTCTCCTCTGTTTCCACAGAGCCTTGTGGCCAGTGGTTGCTAGGCTACTGGTTTCCATGGGATTGTGGAGATGGGGAGATGGAGATAGTAATAGAGCAAGTTAAGATGGAGCGATATTTGCTACTTTCATTAAGATTTGGCCATTTCTCTTTAATAAATACACTCCAGAATGTTGCAAGACTTACATTAATTTCTGCAACACGAAAAAAAATTGATTTTGACAATATTGGCCAGCTTTCTTCCTTAATAGGTCATACTTTGTGTATCCTCTTTTTAAAATATGCATGATCCAAGGCCATGCAATTATCTTATATACCTTATAAACTGTTGTTTTTCTTGCTTTTGTGAAGAAGACTTTTTGGAGGTCCTTACTCCCCAGTTAAAGCTGATGGCATTTTTAAGGAACTTTAGAGACTTGACCCTTCTAATAATTATGCCAGGATAACAGGTGCAAGCTGAGACAGTCCCAACAACCCAACTGGGACTTGGTTTGTTTCTAGGTTGGAGGAATCACGAGCAATGTTGCTATGAGCACCCTTGTACCTATTCTCGAGGTTCATTTGTCCATATTTCTGTTGGGTATATGCCTGGGAATTGCATTGCAGGATCACAGTCTAGGTGCATGTTCAGGTTTACTAGACGTTGTCAAACCATTTCAAAAATGATTAAAATAATTGATGCTTCTCTCAGCAGCCTAGGAGAATTCTACTTGTTCTATGTCCTTGACAGCAGTAGGTATTATCAAATTCTTTTTTTCAAGCTTTTAGTGTGATATTCAGCAGGTTTACCTGTGTTGGATGGCCATTTCAATATTGTTCACTTTTGTGAAATACTTTTTTCCATTGGGTTTTTCTCTCTTCATGATTAATGGTGCTTCTTTACATATTGTGATATTCTCTCTTGTTATATTCATGAAAGTTTTTTTTTTTCCAGTCTGTGCTCTCTTGTGTGTAGTGAAACTTTATGTTAGTGTAGTCTTGTTTCTTAAGTCTTCCCTAATAGGCCACACTTCTTGTGTTCTTTGTATGTTTTAAAATGTGTGTGGTTAAGATCATGAAAATATTTTTCTATATACCTTACAAACTGTTGTTTTTCGGCATTTGGCCTAACTTTATATCTATTAATGCACAATTTTGCAAATGAGGACATGCCTAACTCCTTTATCAGCAGTAGCACTATTGTGGTATCAGCGGCTGTCTTCTGCTGTGCTCTTGCTGTAATGCCACCACCTTGAAAGTGTTCCACAGGGTGACTCACGTTTAATTCTTACAACTGTGATAACTTGGACGTGTATCCATATTTACCATAGTGATGTGGAATATGCACCCCATTTGGTGAAACTGAGGTTTACAAAGGCAGAACAACTGCTGAGTCACATAGTTACTGAATGTCAGCATTGGGTTTAAACCTCTCTTTTCCTGAAGTCTACTTTTGTCTGAGATATTATTTTTTCTTACTAGTGTTACTATTGATTCTGAGAAGGAGGTGGACAAAAATCAGTGGGTATACTGAAATGTGGCTAACTTTCTTCTCATTTTTTAAATTAAACCACTCGGAGATATTTCTGAATCAAAATCTGATTTTGACCATTTTTGCCTCCTCACTATACAGGCTGTATGATTATCTGATCCACACCCCCCTTCCCCTTTACTCACCTCTGGTAGGAATTCCTTTTCAAAGGACTTTCAGGGCTATAGAATTGCTAGTAAGAGTCTAAATATCCAATAGGTCATATTATGTAGAATTCTTTTGTGGCAACATAAGACCTTATTCAAGGAAACCTCTATGTCTTCTTTTATGGGAAATTTTTATGCTACTTATGTGGGATAAAGCACAAAATGAACCTTTTCAGAGAAAATTACTGCTGTTTGGGATCCATGAAGGCATTTTCTGCCTTCTACTTATTGTAATCCACATAACTCCAGAGGGGCTGAATTTGAAAGAAACCTGTGTGTAGGGGGTGAGGTTAAAGAAGAGAGATCAACCATGATTATGGAAATAATTTGTAGGTTATTTCAGCCCCAGGGCTCAATTCAGTGCACACAGCTTCCAGAGCCTGTACACTGCCGACTTGGTGCTGTTGCTCAGATACCCACAGACTTGTCCCTGGAAGGGAGGAGGTTCATGTTTCCAGCAAAAGTAGAAAAGGGGTTTTGTGTGCAGACTGGGGGTAGGAATCAGCATGAATGTTGAAGCGGCTCGTGTAGAACAAGTTTTATGCTGTCTGTATAAAGTGAAGCTGTAGCTCCTTCACTTAAACTCCAAGAATTCTTTCCTCCAACTTGGAGCTAGAGAGATAGCACCTACCACCTACAAAGTACAATTTCCTGTTGGGCCTTCCTTCA